CAGTTTCCCACTACTGCCAACCCCACCCCTGCCCTCCCCTGGCGGCAGTTTCCCACTACTGCCGATCCTTTTCTTATAGTGTTATGATAGTTGTTCAAGGTTATACTCAGTTCTTTGTTTCTGCAACAGATCACTGTGTATTATAGCTTCTAAGTCCATCCAAGTTGCGCAAAAGCATTCTAGGTCTACGTCAGATAGAACCTGGAGTTGGAGCATTGGCTGGGAAACTAGATCCACTCCACCATTTACGAAGGGTGGGGCCTTGGGTGAGCTACTTCAACTCCCCCATGAATCCAAATTCGCTAACTTGAATTAATCTCTCCAAACAGTTTGTACCTCACAAATAGCAAGCGTCATTTAAGTGTGAGCTTTCACTTTTTTTTCTCACCAGTGTCCGGCACTTAATAGACATTTAATAAACTTGTGCAGAATTGAACACAAACTTAACATTCACAGACCCCCTTAGAACCACTCCACCTTGGAAGGGGATGAAATCCCAGCCCTCAGAAAAGTAGCTGCCACGTGTTGAGCCCTATCAGTGGCATGTTCTAGCTGAGCACTAAATATTGGAACCCACTAAGCCTATACAGCAACCTTTTGTAAAGGTGTACAGTCATGACCCCTGAGATACTGACGAGGCAGCTGCGGCTCTGTGGGGCGTTCAGTCCAGAAGCTCCCCACATCCCAGCCCCGTGCAGGTGTGACCCGCCCTTCTGCCCTCCCCTGTGTCCGCAGGAAAGCGTGTCTGCCTGGGCGAGGCTATGGCCCGCATGGAACTCTTTCTCTACTTCACCTCCATCCTTCAGAACTTCTCTCTCCGCCCGCTGGTGTCGCCCGCGGACATTGATGTCACTCCCCAAATCTCAGGCTTTGGCAACATCCCGCCGACCTATAAACTCTGCCTCGTGGCGCGCTGAGCACCGCCCACTGGGCTAGGAAGGAACCGGCGAAAAGCAGCTCTGCCCAGGCGCACCCACCCTCGTCATCTCACGAATTCCCACGACGTCCCTAAGAGAAGGCACTATTATTACTGTCATGGGACTATAACCATCTAGGGTCACTTGAAAATATACAGCCGTATCTCCTCTAGGTCCAGTAGAAGAGCAGTGCCCTGTCCGAGATTTCCACCTAAGCTTGCAGGTTTTGTGTTCACTTAATAACCTTCGCCTAGGTTTCTATCTGCATCAAACTCTTGTTGTAGAGTCTATGTCTTTATGTTGTTCTTTTGTGTGTGTGCCCTAATATTGAGAATACTGTAGTCCAAACTTCTTCCTCCGTGATACTCATCTTTACCCAGCCCCCAAAAGGTCAACAAAGAACTCAAGAAAGTCGAAAATAGCAAATTTATTGTGTATCGTGTCTGACACCAATGTGAGGCACAGAAACAACTTTGAAATAGCCTTTTTTTTGCTTCCTTGTCATTATGTTTTTGTGGAATCAGGGACTCAATATGTTGCCTGGGCTGCTCTCAAACTCCTGGCCTCAAGCAATCCTCCTGCCTCAGCCTCCCAAAGTGCAGGAATTAGAAGCATGAGCCAACGTGCCCAGCCACTTTTTTGTTATTTTCTTTTCTGCCATCCCACTTCCAGTGATTTCCCACTAGTCGGACCACTCCATAAAATACCTCAACCTCAATCTTGCTGACTCATTACCTTTCCCCACCATCATTTCTTCTTCTAAATTTGCTTTCCTGGTTTCTGTCATCACAACCTCCAATTCCAAATGCTCCCCACTCTATTTAAAGATAGTTCGATTGTTCACAGTTTCTATTATTCCATTTCCAAACTTGTTCACCTGATTACATTTTCCCTCATATTTCATTTATTCAACCAATATTTATTGAATATCCAACAAGTACCAGCATACTCTTCAGTGACTTGGGATCCATCCACAAACAAAAGAGACAAACACTACTGCCTGCTTAGAGCTTACATTCTAGCAAGGAAAGTAGACAGTAATGCATACATTTAATAAAAAAGCAAATGATATAGGATGTTAGAAAAGCAAAGCAGGGAAATAGGATACGCATTCTATGACTGGAGCTGAAATGGGTGGTCTTGAGTGGTTTCCCAGGTGGTGAGGCAGCAAATTGCACCGGTGTCTGGGATGAGAGTGTTTCCAGAAAAACAGTTAAGAACAGTCATAAGGTAGGAGACTGTGGGTGTTCAGAAATCCAAAAGGAGACTCATGCAGCTGGAGTGAAGGAGGAAGGCAGAGTAAGAGTAAATGAGATAAGGCCATGGAATTCTGAGGACCAGACTCTGTGGGCCGTTGTGAGCCAAAGTGAAGACTTGCTTTTTACCCTAAGAATGACCAAGGTCCTTGGGAGCTGGTGAGTAGGTGCCATGTACTGATATGTTTTGCAAGGCTTGCGCTGGCTATTGTATGATGGATATGAAAGCAGAGACCAGTTAGGCAGCTACTGCAGGTGATGATGTTGACTCAGACACAGCCAAACCAGTGGAGTTGGGAAGAAGATGATGGACTTGTGATCTATTTCCATGCTTGAGAGGGTAGAGTTTGCTAATGCACTGTATGTAGGGTGTGAGAGAAAGAGGGGATCCAGACATGACTCCAGAGATAACATCTCATCTTTTATTACCTCTCCCTCAACTTGGCACCCAGGACCCATGATAATGATAGCTTCTATTTTTAAGCAGCATCAAATGATTTTGGCTACGTTAAGTAGAAAGGCTGTTAGATACTAGAAGGCAATTGTTTACCTTACAAAATCACTGAGAATTCTGGGAAAACAAGACAAAAATATGAGCAGGGGGAAAAGGCTGCTCAAAAAATAATCAACAGAGTGAATAGACAACCTATAGAATAGGAGAAAATATTCACAAACTATACATCTGACAAGAACTAATACTCAGAATCTACAAGGAACTCAAACAATCAGCAAGAAAAGAGCAAATAATCCTGTGCAAAGGTGGGCAAACAACATGAACAGACATTCTCCAGAAACAATATACAAATGGCCAACAAACATGAAAAATGCTCATCACAAATTATCAGGGAAATGTAAACTAAAACTACAATGAGATGCCACTTTACCCCAAGCAGAATGATCATTATTAAAAAGTCAAAAAATAATAGATGTTGGTGTATATGTGGTGAAAAGGGAACACTAATACACCATTGGTGGGAATGTGAATTCATATGACCTCTATGGAAAATAGTATGGAAATTTCTCAAAGAACTCAAATTAGATCTACCATTCAATCCAACAATGTCATTACTGGCTATGTATCCAAGGGGAAAAAGTTATTATGCACTTGTGTGTTTATCACAGCATAATTCATAATTGCAAAGATGTGGAATCAACCTAAATGTCCATCAACCTATCAATGTATAAAGAAAGTTTAATATATATCACAGATACATATACACACATATATCACACATTATATATATGCATATGTATATGTTTGTAGTCATGAAAAAGAAGAAAATAATGTATTTTGCAGTACGCAAGTCTTTAAAGGCATATAGAATGGTAAAATGGACATAAGAGACTCATGAGAGAGGAGGATAGAAGGGGGGATAAGAAATGGAAAATTACGTGTCCAGTATAATGTACACTAGTTGGGTACACTGTACACTTAAAGCCCAGGTTTCTTCACCATTGTACAATGTATCCATGTAACCAAAAACCACTTGTACCCATAAAGTCATTGAAATAATAATGTGGGGAGTGTCAGGAAGATGGCAGCTGAGCCAGTCAGACTATGTGAGCCCTGGTGTGAGTGAGTGAGTGTATGGAAAATTTTGTGTATGTGCTGGTGAGTGAGTGGGTGTGTGAGTGACTGAGTGAGGACTAGGGAGCTGGTGGCCAGGGCTCTCCTGGTGCAGCAGCTGGTGCCACAGCTGCTCAGCTTGGACCCTAGCGATTTCTGGGATGCAGAAGCCAAGCGTCATTTTTTTAAAAAAGTCAACAAACCCCTTCCTGGGAAGAAAATGCTGGGAGAGACTGACTAAGTGGGGGCTCGTAACCAAGTGGCCAGGTCCCTCCTGGCAAAGCAGCTGGTGCTGCAGCTGCTCTGCTTGGTTCCTAGCATTCCCCAAGTCACAGAAGCCAAGCACAACTTTTTTAAAAAATGGATAAAACTTTTCCTGCAAAGAAGCGGCAAGGAGAGACTACCAGCTCCAGGCTCTGCCTCACCACTGCAGCAGGAGAGACTGCCAGCTCCAAGCTTTGTCTCATTACTGTAATGCCTGGCTGGACGCTGGCAGCATGGGCTGTGGAAGGAACCCAGAGTCAGAGTCCCACCAGAGAAGATAAGAGGCACCCTGGCACCATCTTGAAAATAGGGCGGGGAAAATAGGGCTCTCTGACTTGCGTACTATGGAGCAACAGACCTGATCTCTGTAACTGGCAGATCAACTACTCAGGGGTTGATTGTGACCCGGAAGGAATATCCTTAAAGCAGAAACTTGGGAAAGACCTTATGAGTGCTGAGTCTCAGGCAACCCACCCCCTACCCTGATCCAGTTGTGGGACAAAGGGTGTGACTAGAAAAGGATGAGGAAGACCTCCAAAGACATCAGTGGTGAGTCCAGGGCTGACCCACCCACCCTCCTCCCTGGCAGTCCTCTGAATGTCAGACCCACACAGGTTGGGCACAACTAAGGACAAACCCAGGTGGAACCTGGACCTCAGTTGCAAGAGAACTTCATTCCAGGATAGGCCTGGCTGGGGCACTCCTTGTGAGTACATACCTGAGGAAGAGACAATCCTGTACCTCCCTATAAGAGGGGATCTCCCTGACCATATGAGAGTGAGAGGGGAGGACTGAAGCCCCATCCACCCCCACTGCCACTCCTCCTTCCCTGCTCCTGACACTGGGAGAGAGCCAGAGAGGCAGAAGCTCTGCAGGAGATAGCTGAGCAAATGAGAGGAACAATAACAGAACTTGCCACAAGAGGGCGGGGTTTTTTCTTCTTTTTTTAATTTTTAATTTTTTTAATTAAAAAAGTTTTTTTGCCTGTTTGTTAGATCATCTATCTAAAAAAATATTTTTCCTTTGTGCAGCCCCTTTTTTCTTTTTCTTCTTTTGTTTTTGTTTATGTGTGTATGTGAATGATTGGGTGTTCATCTTTCAGTTTTTGTTGTTGTTTTGTTTTTGCTCTTTTGTTCTTCTCTTTTTTTATTTTTTATTTTTTTAGTTTAAGGGTGTGTGAACATATGTGTGAACGTTCAATCTGAATTCTTTTGTTTTTTTTTCTGGTCTTTCTCTTTTTTCTTCTCCATTAATTTTGTGCTAGGTGTGTGTGTGTGTGTGTGTGTGTGTGTGTGTGTGTGTGTGTTTAGTCTTCCTGGGTTTTTTTTGTTGTTGTTTGTTTAGTTTTACTTTGTTGTTTTTCCAGTTGGTTTTGGGGGTGTGTTTGTGTGTGTGTTTAGTTGTTTTTTGTTTTGGTTTCTGCTTTCATGGTTCTGTGGGTTTTTTCTTTTTTAAAAAAGATTCTTGCCCATCTTATTTGGCTTTATTTTACTCCTCATTGCTGTCACTGTATCTTAGACTCAGAGGGCACATACACACCCATCACATGGTCATATAGAGTGATGATTGGGAGTGGTTCTCAGGGAACACATAGCACAATCAGTGAACATTGTGATTTACAAGTAGTTCCTGAATCTTAGCTCCCCATCCTCTACCCAATTCGACTTTCAAAACTACAAGAGACAGCAAAGCTTCCCACCCACAGTCCTGTGTCAAAATAGAACAAATTCAGAGCCTGAATCAGGGAAGAATAGAGGGCTGAGCAAACATCAGACATGAAAGCCTCTCCCACTGATACTGAATAATGGAACTAAAGAGGAAAGCAGGAGATCTGTCACAAATGAGGAAAAACCAATGGAAGACCACAGGTAATTTCACATGTAACAAAAATAAAACTCCTGAAAAATCAGACC